GGGGGGGGCAGAGCGGGCCCGCGGCCCCCCCCCCCCCCCCCCATGATTCGGCGCTCCATCCATTTTGGAGAAAATTTAAGTCTTTTAAATGTACCTTATTGTCTTCAAAATATGGTATATTATGTTACTGTTTGTTTGCCCAGGGTTACACCACCATGCAGTTGATATGCTCTCAGGAGATGCACTCTATGGGTCTTGCCTGGAAAACCATCAAAGAACAGCTGGGAGAGAACGTTGAAAACGACATTTATAGAATGAACTTCCTCAAAGGAAAAATGGTACATATTGTTGACTTAAGTGATTTGCCAATTGTACTGAAAGGCTACTACATACGCGCACATTTTGAAAGCCACTGACATATAGACGATCTGAATAATGATTTTTTTCTTCCTCCCCAAAACAAAGCTCTTACCATTAAATTTAATCATTGCATTTTATCAAATGTGTTTCCAATAGGGCGTGTGCTTTGATATCCCAGTTGCCAAAGTCAAGGAGTATCAGGTAAGCACATATATTTATTCCTCTCCTTAACGTCTGCATTATATGCAAAACAGGACAACAATGGAGAGAATGTAAATTTTTTTGCTGGATGAAATTACACTGTTACTACATTGTTAAGAGAATGAAAATAGTGTGAAGAAGAGAGTGCTGAGGCTCCACTTTACATACAAATGCACACGACAGCGGTAAACGAATAAAACATTTTATGCTGCTCAAGGATTATTTTTCCCGAGGAAATTTTAGCTGTGTGGCAAGTGTAAATGCATGTTTGTGATAGAAAATCCAGCAGCTGAAAACACTTTGTCAGGAGGTACATATGTTGAAGGAAAGCCTGTGTGTTGATGTCCTAAGTTCCCATTTTACATTTTGAAAAACTGTTTTTTTTTGGGGGTCTGGGGGTGGGGGGGCTGACCCGGTGCTGGAACAGTTTGATGGCGTTTCTATTCTATTCTTTGGGGATGAATAAATTGAACTTGTGATTCAAGGCACCACTGTAGTTTGTTTGGTCATTGCGTTGCATCCTGCCTCTTGTTCGTTAATAGGAGGGCTGGAAAGATGGTCGCCGCTGGCAGCTGACCGTGGCCACAGAGCTCCCCGAAATGGAGGAGAAGCCGCACAACATCCGCAGCGACAGAGGAGGAGATAGAGGAGGAAGATTCCAAGGAGGACGGGGCCGGAGTTTTGGTGGAAGAGGTGGGCGTGGTGGCAATGGGTTCCGTCGAGGCAGCAGGGGTGATGGCAGGAATAGAGTCGGACAAAAACGCTACTTCAGCCAAGCGTTTTGATCCCTGAACTGCCAACCCTTTGGACTAATAGGACTGACTGTCTTGCCTTTGGGCGAGCAGTGTTTTCTATTGGCTGTCAGTTGGAAGCCACAATTAGCATGTTCAACTCCCCTCTATGACTCGATGATACAGCGGTGTCAGGTATTCATAACATGTTTTCAAAGTTTATATTCAACGTAACACACAAGGAGGTTCATATGGAAATAAATAGCACAGCTTGGTTTGCTCGTGGCTATCAAGGATCACATGTTGGACCAATGGCAGCCATTTATACGAACAGACTTTGCTCCAACTCGCCAACTGACATGCTGAGCGTTCACTTTCCAAATCAGTACATTACTGATATCCAAAGTGAATGTTAGTGAAAGGAGAATTATGTCACTGAGTTGCATAACTTGTTTTTACTTTGCATTTGGGGAAAAGTGGCAGCGCGAGGCTCTCATGTAGGAGTTATTTGTGCGCCCCCCACCCTTTGGGTGAAGTGATCAGAGGTTGTCAACCTTTATAGTGGTGGAGTCACTCGTGTTGCCTTACCTCAGCTGAAACATTCTCCCCAAAATATCGGATGATTGCTTTGCAATTGCCTCATTTTACTGCCTGTGTTTGACTGCTCTTTTAGTGAAATGTGTTCATTAAAAAAAGGTCAACCCATGTTGTGTGTCTTCACTGATTGAAACGTAACCACTTACATCGGCTAAATTGTTGCTATCTTGCTTTTAAGGAGACCCACGACAATCACCGAAATCTTTGCATGCTGAGATCAAGTCTCTTGTCACAGTTAATGTCAAAAATGAAGACTATGAAGAACAGAACAGTAATTGTCAGACGAGGAGGAGCCGTTCTCTTGCTTCGTGTTTTGAATCTGTAGGATGCACAATCGCAAGGCAACCTAAACAGTCCCTGTTACGAAGTGACCAAAATTGGTCTCAGCTGCAGTGTCAATTCGTCCAGCAGGTTAGTGACCAGCAACACAGATGAAAGCACACAAGAATGGCCAAGAATAACACTGCTTCTGAAATAGCCTTTTCTGCCTATATAGTTCTACTTCAAAAAATAACGTTTATGGCAATGTCATTAACATACTGCACAATTGTGTTTTCGAACATTTTATTGCAGTATTATGAAAAATATTGCCGGTAATTTTCATCAAACCATTTATTCATGATCTGAACCTGATTTAAAAAAAAAACCATCAAACCAACAGTATGTCAAACAGTACAAAGTCATAAATATTTCCCCCAACAATGTGCAAAAGTAGCAATTTAAATCCATTTTCAGGGATGGACTGTTCAGATTCCAGATTGTAACACATGACCATACCAAGTCCCACAGAAAGGCAAACATTTACCCTCAGTTCAATCCTAATAGAGTGAAACTGACATGCAATATATAGGAAATTTAGTTACTGATTTTTCTGTATTCCTTTGAGAATAGTGAATGTGACTCAGGGTAAGTTGACAAAAGATTAAACCCTTGGAATGCTTTATGACACCTTTGACTTTAGCTTCAGAAAACATAACCGTATGATAAGCAAATTATAGAGAAGGACAGCAATGAGGCACAAGTACAATCACAAAAGGCATCCAGCAGCTACAAGTCATCGCTTGTGATGCTGAGTCCACTGGTGTTATGGTTCTCTAAGATCAAGCCATCGTCGTCATCCTCCTGGAGAATGAATGCAACAAATTTTAAGTACCGGTATACTATCACAGGACTTTCGAGAGAGTATATAAAAGACAATGAGCTGGCTTTATGTTGTTTTGCCCATCTCTGATTGAGATTGTAGTTTTAATCTTTTGAGTGAGTTGAAGGTTTGCTGTGTACAAGAAAGTACCAACGGCCTGACAGATTTGGACACATCCGAAGAAAACCCTACTCAAATAGACTTGATTTTTAGGTTTTAAACACACGCACGCACGCACGCACACACGCACACGCACACACACACACACACACACACACACACACACATA